GGGAGAGTTCTTTGAAAGTACACTCTTGCCTCCCCCCATATACACACGTATAATAATGATTACACAACAATAGGAATAATAAAATAAATATGCTAAATGATTCTGTAAGGAGGAAGAGTGGGCTGATGAGGCACTGCTTGGACTCCTGACCTGGGAGAGTGGGATTGAAAGTAGTGTGTCCATTACAATCAAAAGCAAATGTTTGGACTTGATGTAACTACACCCACGTGCTTAATTAAGGACGTGATGATTTGATGCCAGGTGAATAGTACTCAGCCCTTCACTCTTAGTCAAATGAATAAGAGAAAGGTTTTTATAATTGGCCATTGAGTGGCCTTGAAACTAAACGAACTTTTCTCCTTTATTGCCTTTGGGTTTCCTTGGACTTTTCTTTCCTCTTGGTTACTACATAGGTAACCCTGTGTTTCTTTTCCTTCCTTCCTTCCTTCCTTCTTTACTTGCTTCCTTCCTTCCTTCCTTCTTTCCTCCCTCCAAGGCTCTTTTAATACAAATTCATACTTTTTCTTACAGTTTTTTCTTAATATGTTCAGAATTCAGAAAGCGTAGGTGTGGTTTCAAGTTTGAGGCCCACCATGGTTACTGGAGGTTGATGACTTGCTGACTCTGCCCAAAGATTTTCCCAACTCTGCCCTCTAGCAACTTGACACTTGAGATGGGGAACTAGGGAGGGAGGCGGAGGCTGAGGGAGGAGAAAGGGAGGGAGGGTTTGCAGTGAACAGGAAGCCGGAGCAGGGCCAGGCTGCAGCACCAGTGGGTGATGGCTTCAGCAAGCAGGCGGCTTCCCATCTCAATCAGAAGGGCCCTATTTTAAGGAGCAGCTGCATCTGTGGCACTGCCTTGCCTTGCTCAGCCTTGTGGGATCTGATGAGTCAAATTCTCAGGATGGATGGCAATCTCTGTGCTGACTGTTTGGAAGCAGACGTAGCGGCTGTCACTCACTCTGCTGATGCTTGGGATGGGATTGGTACTCACTGTTCAGATGTCAGTCACTCCAGTGCCATTCTGTTATCAGCAGATCAATTAAAGCTGTTAAAGTAGGCCGAACTCTCCAGTTTTGTTAATACAGCCCTTATAGCAGCTGAGGGCAGTGATTCAGAGCTGAATCATCCCATCCAGAAACTCCAGAAATGGGAAAATAGAGGCTGTTATGAAGGAAGCCTCCCTCTCCGTCCATTCTTTTTCTCCAGTTTCAAAAGATTTTACCTGGTCTTTCTGAGCCAGTTAAACTGTCACCAAGCATGTTTACCAGGTGCCTGCTGTGTGCTAGCGCTGCACTTGGCCCCCAGACTAAGTGCTAGGCCTCTTTGGCCTGATTTTGAGATAATACAAGAAGTAAGTCAGGGAAAGATTTTTGGAAGATGGCAGAATTCAGAGACGCTCCAAATTCCCACTTATTGATGGAGTCCTCCCTCTGGCCGGGATAGTCGTAAACATGACTTTGGCATTTAAGAGTCTCATTCTTTGACAGTTGGATATCTCTGGAAATTAAGGGAGCCCTGTGCCCAGATACAGGCAGAGCTCGCTTTAGCTAGTGTTTCCTTTCCTCCCAGCAAACTTGCTGGCTTTGAAGCAGAGCCCAGAGCCTCCTTTTTCTGCAGAGTAGGTATGGGGGGGGGGGGGGGCGGCGCTACTAATCCCAAATGATTTAATTGAGGGGATGAACTTGCTATTGGAAGAATTTTGCCTTTCTGAATGATATGAAGGCAAATGTTGTCATAATTGAAAAATAACAAAAAAGAAGAGCTTCTTTTAAAATAGGAAAATGTGTTTAATTTTCCTGGCAGATTTTTCACCCCTCTTGGTTTCACTTAGAAATCCTGAAGCCAGTGGACTGTGTCATTTGAGTTATGCAAAATCTAAACCCAAGCTTGTAATTCCATCCCAGCCTCCTAGAGGCCACAAACTGGGGAGATGAGGTAGAACATGGCCTGACTTGGCCCAGCCCAGCAGCCCCAGGCCTGCCACTCGGATCCACATTGGGTCAGTAGCTGCTCTGACTAAAACTGGTTAATGTTTAGCTTTGTCTGGTGCTTTGTAAACCTTAAAGTGCTAAGTACCAGCTGCTATTGCAGAGGGAACAGGGTAGCACAGTGGGTAGAGCACAGGGCTTGGATCCCTCTTGTAGTCTGGGAAAAACAACAGCACTTTTGTGAGGACCTTTCCTGAAAAATTGTCCCTTTTCTAGATGTGCCCCCTTCACCTTGCCTGGCATCATCCCTTTTCTGGCATTTTCTGTGCTGGAAATTTTTGTGCTATAAACTTCCATGCCCTTTGCAGGCTTGCTAATTGACCCCTACCTGTGTTCCATTCAAGGTAGGAAACCAGTCAGACATACCCGATGGCCACCCCTCCCCATCCCCAAGGGACAACTCCCAGATCTATAGCTTTCTCTCTCAAGCCCCGGTTTCTTCTCTAACCTCCAGACTCATATCTTCAGCCCACTACAAAATAGTGCCCCACTGGTACTGCAGAGTCAAGATGTCCAAAACCCAACTTATTATCATTGCCTCTCATCCTCCTTCTAATGTCACTTTCTATCATTGGCATCATCATCATCCCTCTCCCTCACTGCTCATGTCCCGTTAGTTAATGCCTCCCGTTGAGGCCCCCCCCGCAGCATCTATCACATCCATCTCTTTTGCTCTACTCCTGCCTTGACCACCAGGACGGATGCATGTTACCACCTGCCTGGAGAATTGCATTACCTTCATCACAGGCCCTCCAGTCTCCACCATCTTCCTTCATACTGATAGCAGAATAATATCCTTATATCTAGAGCCAGTGGTCACCTTCCTCCTCTGTTCAGACATTCGCAATGATTACCTGGTGACTAAAATTGAGCCTCCGTTGCCTGGCATTCAGGGCCTTTTACCATCTGATACCACTCTTTCATATACTCTGTGCTCCAGTTCGACAGGACTGTCTCATGCCCCCAGGCATCCTTTGCACTTCTGTCCTTGGACCTTTACTCAGTCTTTTCCCTACTTCTAGAATAAACTTGTTCCCTTTAAACTTGTTCCCTTTCCTTGCCTGTTCAATCCTTACTCGTTCTTTTAAGTATAGCTGAAATGCCCTGCCCTCCATGAAGCCTCCCATACTATGGGTGGTAATCTTCTTGCTCAGATATTCTATAGCACTTTGTTTTGAAACTCTCAAATATGCTTTTAAAATATTGTATATTCCAGCGATCAATGTTTGTTTCTTACCCTTTTGTTATACTATTAGCTCCTTGAGGACAGAGACTACATCTTCACTAAATTTTTCATCTCTCTTAGGGCTTAGTGTACAGTGCTCCGTACTCAGTAGGCCCATAATAAATAATTGAATTATTGAATCAAGTTCTGTACAAAGAAGTCATGGTTTGTCAAATCCAAATTTGAGATACTCACGTAGTGTGCCATTTTGAAGTCTTTCTAGGGCATTCCATAAATCCTAGAAATATTAGTAGCTGTTTGTCCTTAGGTGGGTCAGGATTTGTGAGACTTTCTCTGTAGGTAAAGGAGGCTGGTTTTGCCCATTTGCACCAAAATGTTTTTCAGAAAATAAAACTGGTTAAATAAAGTAAACATCTTCAAACTTAAAACCAGGGTTGTGATTGTTTTCCAGTTGAAGATCGAGGGTATGTGTGATACCCTCTGGGTCATCTGGTGTCCCTCTGGCCCAAGGATTCACTAACATATATGATGGTAGCAAAGGCTAACATGTTAGCCATTTAGGAGCACCTGCATGCCTTGACTTTCCATAGACTTTGAACCTACTCTTCCTAGCATCTACTGGCCTGTTCTTGCACATCCCCCCTTTTTTTTCCCTTCCCACCAGGTCTCAGGTTCCAGGACATTGTATTCTACTAGGGACTAGGGCACCTCTTGAAGTATGTTTTGGTTGTGTCAGTAGCAGTGATTGCGCGCGCGCGCGTGTGTGTGTGTGTGTGTGTGTGTGTGTGTGTCTGTGTGTCTGTCTGTCTGTGTATAATTCTTTAATTCTGAACTTAGACAAAGTGACATTTTTCCATTTTCATTTACCATAGATCTTAATTATATAGAGTTTGCTTTTTTTAAACATGCAGCAAATTCACTTTATAAACTTTCAAACTTTCTTGCTTGTCTGTGGTTCCTTCCTCCCATCCCCCCCCCCATCCCCAATTCTGCTCATTTGAAAAGCAAAGCCAAGCCCTTGGAACAAATGTGAAGTCGAGAAAAACAAATTCCCCTATCAGTCACGTCCCAAGATGCAAACTCCTTCTGCCCTCTGAGCCCACCACCTCTGTCAGGAGGTGAAGCTGTCAGGCTCTCAGCTTGGCTCTTCTCAAACTGTGGGTGGCTGTTGTAATTTTTAATTTTTCAGGATATTTGTTTCCATGTCCATTTGAATTTGCTTGTGAGTCAGGGAGGCCAGGATAATTATTCCCATTTGACAGATAAAGAAACTGACACTTGGAGACATGAAGTGACTTTTTCAGAGTCACGAAGCTCTTCCATAGCAGCATGAATCCCCAAGTCTGGCTCTACCAGTCCTATGCTCTTTCTCTTAGGCTGCCTTGCCTCTCAATAGTGTATTGAAAGTCACTTAAAATAAATGGAATGTTGGTGGGGATTGGAAATCTTTATGTTATGGGTAAAACAGATTTGACCTGGGAATCTTAAAGTGCAGTGTTAAATGTGTTGATGGCACTGTTGGGAGCATCATTATCAAGTTGAATGCAAGCCCCGTGGGTCAGCAGCCATTCCCCTTTGTGTCTCTTTGTATCCTTGGCACTCAGTCTACTGCCTTGCACATAGTAGGCACTTAGAAAATGTTGGCTAAATTAAGTCTTTCTCTTGGCCGTCTCTCAGCTCTCTGTCCTCATATTGCAATCCATGGATGAGCTTTTCTATCAGAAAATTATTAAGAAGGTGGAAAATCAGAGGGGATGGGCAGGGACCTGTGGAGAAGATCAGAAACAAACAAATTCTTCCTCTTCTCTTTTATTCTCCTGATAGAAAAAGGTTGAGGTCCCTCCACCATGCACCAATCCTTTCCTGGAAGATGAGCCCAGCTCCGAGATGGAGGAATTGCCAATGGACAAAGGAGACTTGGATCAGGTAAGTGCAGACCCCTGTTCGATCTTTTGAACAGCCTGATATTTAAATCTAAAAATAGTATGACCAGTGACTGTATATGTGCTTGATGAGGAAGCAGCTTTGGCAGTCCTTATGTAATTTCTCTACTTGAAAGTCCATCTAAGAAAATAATGAAAAAAGCAGCCCTTGCTCCTTCTCCATGCTTTAGAGGGGTCTCTGGATTCTTACCACTGAGTGGATTGACGTGCACAAGCATAATTAGCCCATCTGGAAGAGCAAACAAAATTCTGTTCTGCCTCATTCATCACCCCCTGAAATTGTCCGCTCACTTTTCTGTTGCACAGTCATCTGTTTTGGTGGTGATGTGAGATAGTGAAAGATCACTGCTTGGCTTTCAAATTTCTTCTTTTTCTTAAAATTAAATTAAATTATTTTTTGTTTCATTTTAAGTTCTGAACTGTCCCTCTCCCTCTTTTCTTCCTTCCCTACCCTGCACCAGAAAAGGCCATCATTTGACACAGTAAAACCATACTTTACATACTTTTATTTATCACTTTTTCTCTGGAGGTGGATAGCATCTTCCTTCATAGGTCCTTATAGTTGATTTGAGTGTTTATAATACTCAAAATAACTTAATCGTTCACAGTTAGTCTTCAAGCAATATTGCTGTTACTGTATACGATGTTCTCTTGGTTCTGCTCATTTCACTCTTTATTATTTCATGCAAGTCTTTCCCATGTTTTTCTAAAATCAATTTGCTCATCATTTCTTATAGCATAGTAGTATTCCATCACAATCATATACCACAACTTGTTAAGCTATTCCCCAATTGATGGGCATCCCCTCGGTTTCCAATTCTTTGCCACCACAAAGAGAATTGTGGTAAATATTTCAGAACATATACATTCTTTTCCTTTTTCCTTGATCACCTTGGGAAACAGACTCAATAGTGGTATTGCTGAGTCAAAGGGTATACACAGTTTTATAACTATTTGGGCATAATTCCGGATTGCTCTCCAGAATGGTTGGATTAGTTCGCAATTCCACCAACAATGTTTTAGTACCTCAATTTTTCCACATTCTCTCCAACGTTTGTCACTTTTCCCTTCTATCATCTTAGCCAGTCTGACAGGTGTGAGATGATATCTCAAATTTGTTTTAATTTGCATTTCTCTAATCAATAATGATTTAGCATTTTTTATGTGAATATGTATAGTTTTGATTTCTTCATCGGAAAATTACCTGTTCGTATCCTTTGACTATCAATTGGGGAATGACTCATCGTCTTATAAATTTGACAAAGTTCTCTATATATTTGAGATATGAGACCTTTATCCAAGAAACTGTCTATAAATTTTTTTCCCTGATTGTCTGCTTTCTTTCTAATCTTAGCTACATTGGTTTTATTTGTACAAAATTGGCTTTCAGATTTCCAGGGAAGTTTGCAGTTCCCAGGGAGAGAGAAGGAAGGGTCTCAGTTGAATTGTCAACTGATCACTCGTGTGAGAAGCCATTGTGCGGGCCTGGAAATTACAGAGGGAACCAATGGTGGATGAGGAGAGGGACTCTCCGTTTCCTCTTTGCCTCTGTGTTCAACTCCAGACTTCCTCCCCTTCCATCCTACTACGTGCCAGTTTATGACAGGAGAGGCCAGAGTAGGAAATCAGGTCTTTTCCTTTGGTTTATTAGTGACACTTGTCATTTAATTAGCTTCTCTTGGCTGTTGGGGGCTTATTTCTTGATGACATTTTGATTCATTCACAAGGTGAATGGGGAGGGCAACCTAGGGAGCCATCTCTGGGCCTTGAAAACTGTAGACTTTTCAGGTAGTACTCCCCATTTCTCAGTGTGGGGAGGTAATTGTGTGGGTGCTGCGTCATGCCATAGAGCCCTCAGGCCTTCCAGAATCCATTTCTGAAGGGATGCTGATTATTTCTGTCTTGCCATTTGGGTAAATGGGGGTGGGGGAGCCGAAATGAAATGTTAGATTCTGAAAATCTCTTTAGATACATGTCAGCTGCTCAGAAGTCCCAATATTATTGTCCAGCATTGTCCAAAACCAGAGGTTTCTTCAAAACCAAATAATGCCATTTTCACATTTTGCTGAAACGGATTCAGATACAGAGGGGCTAAGAGGAGGGCTGCACTCAAGGAGTAGGATGACATTCTTGGACAGTCCCAGACCCAGCTAGGCCCCTCTGGCTTCTTGTGGTATCACATTTGCCTGGCTTTTTTTTGTTTGTTTGTTTAAATTATTATTATTATTATTATGATTTTTTTTGTTTTGGTGAGGCAGTCGGGGTTAAGTGACTTGCCGAAGGTCACACAGCTAGTACGTGTCAGGCATTTAGTCGGAGGCCAGATTTGAACTCAGGTCTTCCTGACTTTCAGAGCCAGTGCTCTATCCACTGCGCCACCTAGCTGCCCCTTATTTTTTTTTTTTTATTATTTTTTTTGTTGTTGTTGTTGATTTGCCTGGATTTTTGAGAGTGATGTTCACAGGGATATTGTGCCTTCCTCTTCTAGGTGTTCTAGAGGCAAATGATCGTGATGCCTTGGGCAGTGCTTGCTTTTGCTGGACATTATCCTGATTCTTAACTAGTTCTTTCTAGGCATTCTGGAGCTGGGTTATATGGAAGTGAGTTGTAGGTTGCCTACCAAATCAGTAGGGCCAGGAAAAATGTAACTTCCCAGCTTTGGCAGGTGGCTGGCTGCTGCGGACACTGCCAACCTGAGAACAGGTACATTTATTGTTGGTGAGTAGGGTGCTGACATGGCAAACGTACATCAGCAGGCAGGGCTTCACAAGTTTTCTAGAATTTTTATCGTCATCACTAAAGCCTATAGACCTGATGCTTCCACATATCATTCCCAGTCTCCTTCCCACCTCAGATATAGCAGGTCAGCAGCGGTTAGAAAGAGGAAGTGGAATCACCTTCCCCAATAGCTTCTCAGATCCTTCTTTTGGCATGTTTAGGGAGGTGGGCTAGTGAGGGTAGGAACCCTGCAACCAATGTCAGTTCACTGCAGGATGCTAATAGGACTAAGGGGGAACATAGCTTTCATCCCCCTCAGGGGCCAGCTAAAGGCCAACGGTATTGCTAGTCGTAGAGGTAGTTAGCATTTCTGGGCTCTAGAGGAGGGCAGAGCTCACTGTGGAGACAATACTGGGAGAAGAGACTACATTTGAGAAGGGGGGGAGGAATTGAATTGGGTTTCATTGGGGACTTGGGAGGTCATTCAGTTCTTTGTAGTCTCAGCACTTGGTACAATACCTGCACGTAGTAGGCACTCAAAAAAGGTTTATTGACTTGACCAAAGGGCGTGAGGGCATCATGATAAAAAGGGGCAGGGCAAGAAAGAAGAAATTCATGGTCTCGAGTACATCCTTTTGGGGATCTGAGCAGTTTGATTTGATCTGTTTATGTTGGATGGTAATCAAAGGAAACAGGGCCAGCTGCAGCCCTCCTGACTGTGACAACAGGAACCTTTTATTATTCCATCAAACTCCAGGAGGAAATAGTTTAAACATCTGCAGCTTTTGGACAGAATTCATGCACCCAGAAATCCAACCTAGATGCTACTGCTGAATGATTGAGTCTTTTCTTTAAGCCGAGAAGTGGCCATTGGGGAAACCGAACAATGCAGAAATGAGACATTGGCACTGTCCGTCTTAGCATCTCGAACTGCTACCTCGCTGTAGAAATGTCACTTCCTGGGCACGTGTCAACCCCACATCGTGAGGCAGTCCTGTGAAGAGCTTGGATATCCCATCCGTGCTCTCTTCCTCTCTGTAGCCAGCTGAAATGGTGAAATGCAGCCAGGACGCTACTGCTAAGTGCTCCAAAGTCCTTCCTCTCGGCTGTCCTATAGCTCCATTCAGGGATCTGATAAACCCTTGGCTTCATGTACCTCCCTGCGCTGTCTGGGAACCCATGAAGGACCCCAGAAATTTACAGTCCCTCCAGATCAGGACTGACTTGACTGCAGAGAGGCCCCCCAGGATACCTTGGGTCAACATAGAGCCCCAGGCTCCTCCAGTGTGGCCCCATTGATGTGGTCCTGGGGGCTTCCGTGATAACCTCTCATCTCCAGGGAAGAGCTGATGGCAGCAATGCAAATTCTGCTTCTGAGAAATAAGGAAGAAACATCTGTTAAACTCACAGCCATTGTGAGTAACTGGGCTCCCGTTGACTACCCCTACCCTTCTCCTCCCTGGAAGAGGGAGCCTGGAACACTCCAGATGTGACTAGGGCTAAGTAAGGAATGACCAGCATGTGTGTTAAGTTAGCTTTTAGCTTTTGGTGAGCATGATCGATTCTTCAGAAATGTGTCGACCGTTCCCTCTCTGTGGGGTCAGATATATGGGAAGAGGCGCTACCAGCACCGTGCCCAAGCCATCCTTCCTTTTAGAGTTTCGTCTCGTGTATACTTTCTGTTGTGCTTGTTAAGAGATACAATTGGTTCAGTTTAACAGAGTGTTTATGAGTGTCCACTCGTAGTGGAAAGAGACGTAGACTTGAGGTCAGAGGACTCAAGAGACATGGGTTTGAGTTCCAACTCTTTGAGTGGCCTTGGATAAGTCACTTCTCTCTGGTCTCAGTGTCTTCACCCATAAAATCACGGGGTTGGACAGATGATCTTTAAAATCCCTTCTAGCTTGACTGATCTGAGAATTCTGTAAGCAAGGCCACGTAGTTCAAGGCCCTTTGGATGACTGTGATAAATCTAAGGCCTAGAGAAACAAAGGTGACGTGTAGGAATTTTAAAACTCCCCATTTATTTTCCGAGTGATGTTTGGAAAAGGAATAAATTCATGGATGTAATTTTACAATCTGTATGCCTGTCTAGACAGCTTTCAGAGAGTCGCTGAAGCTGTTTGTAAAACAGTTGGTAAATGGGAACCCGTTATCAAAGTAACACTAAATCTTGGGGTGAACAAAGCAAGTGAATGATGCTGAGAGCTCACTTGTCGTCCCCTGGTTGCGATCAACTGCAGTGTAGGGTGTGTGATCACTTAGTTATGTCAGGGGGCTTCTTATCATGGGGCAGGGAGCGGGCTTGAAGGGCTCTTGTCTTTGGAGCTGCTGGGAAGTGGCTGGAAATTGCTCACATGCTGCCTTTTTGACTCCCCAGCCAAAGAAGCCAAAAGTCCCGGAAAACCCGTTTCATGGAATCATTTCCAAGTGTTTTGAGCCTCATCTCTACGTGTATATTGAATCCCAGGACAAGTGAGTTATGAGTATTTTTTGTTCTTTCTCTTACCTGTGCATTTTGGTCTCTAACCAACTGTTGGGTCTCCCTACACAATCTGCTTTCCACGTTTAACATTACAATTATGTAGCCTCTTCCAGGTGTTGGAGGAGAGAGACAGCAGGTCCTGGCCCCTGAAAATACGTTAAGGGCATTTCATTTCCTGAACATTAGTAGCCATGAATTTTACGGTTTGTTATATATAGAAATCACAGGTGCTTATGTGTGCCTCTTGGGAACCTCCAGTAAGGCCCTCATCTCCCCACCTCCGTAGCATGGGTGCCAAGCCCCTCACAGCTAGCTCCATGCCTGCCAAGACTCGGGACTTTTTTAGGTGCTGGGCATTTGGGGAATGCAGGAAGGAGGCAAATGTGCCATCTCACGTGATGCTGTTTGCAAACGGCCGGGCTGAGGAGAAGACAAAAAGCATTTTGCCAACCACCAGCGTGAATGTGATTACCTTGTGAAATGTCAGCGGCGGATGAGAGCTGCTTCCCCAGTGGAGCAAACCGCTGATGGCTGCTTTATGTCAGGGGACATACTTTCAGAAGATTGCTTTTCTGGCTGAGATGCTGCTGTCCTTGCTGAGGGTGTCGAGTGAATCTTTGGAGGAGCCGCTAGGAGGATTCTCTAGTGGGAAGAATGGGGGGGGGGGGGGTGTGCAGAAGGGAGGACGCAGGAAAATATTTAACTTCTGAGCTTAAAATAATTTTTCTAGGCTTTGGCAGACTCCTCTTTCCTGGACTATTGCAAGAGTTGAACTATGTGGAGAAAAAAAATGTTCTTGCTACCCACTGCAGAGAGAATTATGCTATGGGTAGTATTGTCTCTCATCTGCTTTTCATAGAATTCAGTTTTTCTATCTTTCCCCTTCCCCTAGTAATGGAAATATTTCTTATTAGACTTATAATCCCAGAAAATGGATTTTGAATACAAGTTACTGCACTTTAAAATATTCTTTTGTGCTCAATTTCTCCCCCCTCGATTGCACTTTTCAAGCATCTCTTTGTCTGCTATCTGATTATTGCATATAATCGTGGCAGTTCAACCTAAAGGCAGTGGGCAGGTAGGCTAGTTAAGTTTTTTATTTCCACATTTTTTGGTTTTGGCTAAAAATAATTGGGCCTCTTTATGCTGGCAGATTGTTTGTTCACCCATTCAACAAACTCTGGACCTGGGGCTCTGAAGTCATTGATTGTATTGGAATATTAAGTTACAGAGAAACCCTCCCACCCCACCTCAGACTGGAGATCAGAGTCTACCTTGGTTCCAGGCCCAGAATTTCTGATCACCCAGATCTGATATTACCTAACTACTCATTTTTCAAAACCCTGAATGGCATAGATTGAAATGCACAAAGCATGTGCTTGTGAATGCTGTGTCTGGACCTGAAACCAACTTGACCTTCCCAGAGGTGTTTTCCTATCAGCATGGCTCTGATATCCACTCTCCTCTTTGGACCAAGGGGTCTCACAAAGCACTCATTGTTCGTGATGCTTTGGGCAGGAAGCCAGATCTCTCCTCCACAGAGGTTCTCCTTTTCCCCTGTGAAAAATGAAGTGCTGGCTGCTCTGACTGCTATTGGCCTCACTGCGGGGATGTTACCATAGCAGAAGTTATTCACATGAGACCTGTGAGCTGGAACAGCTCCTGTAGGTTCAGAGCAGGCAACTCAGAGCAAGAGGCTAGAGCAGAAGGAATCCTAGAATCACAGAATCCTAGAACTGGAAGGGCCCTTAGAAGTCATCTGGTCCAGTCCCCTTCTTTTACGGAGAGAGAAACTGAGGCCCAAAAGGTTAAGGTACTAAGTACTCAGAACTTAGTGCTGTTACCGGTTCTCTTTCATGTCAAACAAACGTGTTGGATTAGGTCATCTTGAAGTTTCCTTCTGGTACAGATATTCTGTTACTGAATCCTAAAAATAAACACTTTGAGGTGAGATGGAGGAAATTTACTGCTTTTGGTTTTTTCTACTCACTCCCTTTTTCCTCTTGCCTTGAGCAGCTCAGCCAGTGGCAACTAGTGCCTCTTGTGCCTGGTCCCTGGGCTCACCCCACTAATCTTTTTCTCTCTCACCCTCAATCCTATCAGTAGCCAAATATTGTTGATCCTGCCTCCAGAATGTGTCTTATATACGTCCGTTTTTGTCCACTCCCTGTCCACTGCCACCACCCTAGTCAGACTAAATTGTTATAATAATCTGCTCACTGGTTTTCCAGTCTGTCTTCTTTCCTATAATCTTTGCTCCCTCCAGTCCATCCTTCACACAGCTACCAAAATAATTTTGCTAAGGTGCAGGACTTTCTGGGGGGTCAAAAACCTATAGTAGCTCCCCATTGCCTGTAGGCTGAAAGGCAAATTGCTTAACCTAGTCTTGAAGGCACTGCACAGTCTCCTTCCAAACCACCTTTTCAGCTTTTTTCAACGTGATTCCCCTCCTTACACTGCCCTTCCTTGTAGACAAAGGGAACTCTTACCCCTTCCCCATTTCTGTCCTGCACTCTCTTGCCCCTGTGTCTTTGTGTAGGCCATCCATTGTATCGAGAACATTCCATATTTCCACAGGTTGCAATCCTTCTCTTACTCCAAGACCCAACACAGGAGTCATTTCCTTCATAAAGACTTCCTTTATCTCTCTTCCCTTTCCTTCCATTGGAAAGCCAGTCTTCCCATTGGAAGATTTTTTCAGTCATACTTTTCCCTTATCACATTTTACTTGGTTTCATACTTGTTTGTGAACATTTTACACTCTCCCTATTAAATTGTGATCGTGACTCCCTGGAGTCATGAACTGTTTCATGTGTGTCTTTCATGTGTGAGAAGCTCTCCAGCTTCGTCAGGTAGGTGTGATGAGTATGAGTTAGTTTGAAACTTTTTCTGACTCGCTGGTATAAGTGGAAGAGGCTGCTTCGATCACGGGCCCACCAGTCGTCCTGAAGCTGGGTGCCTCTCTTAGATACCTTCTGAACCACCCCAAAGGGCAGAATAGAGCAAGAGATGGGGAGAGGAGAGGGTAGTCTGATATGTCATGGAAGCAGGGTGTGGAAAGAGTCAATAACAAAGGGTAAAGAACAAAAAGCAAGCATGGTGGGAGAACAGAAAAGGGATGATTCAGAGGGGAGGAGTACCAGACAGTCACATGAGGGTGACAGAGATACAGTGAGGTTGGAGGTGTGATGACGAGGAAGAGGAGCATGGTGGTTATCGACTGCCAGGCCACAGTATTGGTCATTACCATCGCCTGCCCTCTGCTCCTTCTCTCCCAAGAATCTTTTAATCTCATTTAAAGAAAAGAATGGCTACAGCCCTTACCATCTTAAGCCTCAGGCTTACCCTACTGACCTTCTTACTTTTCTGATTCCTACTCACCAAGGTGAGCACAGCTGTCTCCTGGGCAGCTCGGGGTCATCTGTGTCTTCATCGCCTGCTTGATTCTTGTCTGTGTCCTTCCATCAGGCCTCCATAGAGGATCTGTCCAGTGCATTGGAGGTCTTCCTCCAGATCTTTTAGTATTTCATCAGTATCAGTATAACACTCAGACTAGCCACGTGTATTTTTGTTTTCATTGAATGACCAGCCTGGATCCTTTTATGCTCATACTGATCATGACACTAAGTCAGTTTGCATTGTTTGCAAATTTGTAAATGCCTCCCCCCCCACCTCTTCATTTACCCACCATATGTCTATTAACCTGGCTCAGTGTGTACATTCTGAGCTCTTTGAGGACAGAGAACATGTCTTCTTGATCTTTTGCCTTTCCCTGAGTTGCCTGGTACAACATTCTGTAGGTGTTCAATCAGTATTACTAACTACTTGTCCATCCTGTTGCTGTTAATTTCATTCTAACATCTTCCCAGCATCCCATCTGGCTTTGAGGCCAATTTCCTGAATACCTCCCTAGTGATTGGGAGATCCCAGCAGAAGGTTAGGGAAGGTAATGCTACTAGTGTCTGAAGGAGACCAGAACCAGACTCTTTGAACAGACCCCATAGGGAGGAGGTATCCAGTTACAGAATGGTCCTTTTGGCCATCTCTTTTAGCAGTGCTATGCAGACCTTCCCTTAATTCTAGGACTTGAGGTTGAAAAATATTAGTCACAATCTGGAAACTATTTTGGAACTATGCTCCAAAAGCATTACTGTGCATGTTCCTTGACCCAGTGATAGTCTATAGGCCTGTATCCCAAAGAGATCAGAGAAAGAAGAAAGGAACTTGTGTACAGAATGTTTTTATAGTATCCCTTTTTGTAGTTGCAAGGAACTAAACTAAAGAAGTGTCTTTTATTTGGAAAGTGAACGAATAAATTATGATAAATAAATATAATGGGATATTATTGCAACACAAAAAATGAGAGCAGATGGTGTCAGAGAAAGCTGGGAAGATTTGTATGAATTGATGCAGGTTGAAATCAGCAGAAACAGAAGAACAAGTTACACAATAACAACAGCATCATCACATGACAAACAACTTTGAAAGACTGAAGAACTGTGATTAACCCAGTGACCATTCATAACTGCAGAGAACCATGGATGAGATGTGATACTCACCTCCCAACTGAGAGGCAGTAGACTCAGGGTGCAGAATGAATCTTACTTTTGGACATGGCCAATGTGGAAATTTGTTTTGCTTTACTACGCATGATTGTTTTACATTTTTCCCTCAGTAGTTTGATGGGGATGGGGTAGAGAGATTTATTTTTTGTTCATTTAAGAAAACACATGTGTGTGTGTATGTGTATATATATATATATATATATATATGCATATGCACATTTGTACACGTGTGTGTGTGATTGTGTGAGAGAGGGAGACAGGAGAGAGAGCACAAGACATTATTTTTGGACGTGGCCACAGACTACGCGTATTTGCTAGAAGGTCTTGTCTCTCCCTGCAACTCGCCTAACTCCGTGGTGGGGTGGGAGAAGGGAGAGAACATAAATGCTTATTAGTTGAACCAAAAAAAAAAAAGTAAAATAAAA